CAGTAGCGGAAATTTTGAGTAGTTCAGAGAACCAGTAGCGGAAATTTTGAGTAGTTCAGAGAACCAGTAGCGGAAATTTTGAGTAGTTCAGAGAACCAGTAGCGAAAATTTTGAGTAGTTCAGAGAACCGGTAGCGGAAATTTTGAGTAGTTTGGAGAACCAGCAAATACCACCTCTGGCTGGCCCCAGAGTGGGGTGGGAATGGAGATTTTGCAACATCCTTCCCCCAGGAGTAGGGAGGGAATGGAGATTTTGCAGTATCCTTCCCCTGCCATGCCCACCAAGCCATGCGCCCAAAACCGGTAGTAAAAAAAAATTGAAGATTAGCATTTTGTTAATCTATTAATTGTAGGAACTCACAGAAAGTTTTATAGCAGATTTCCAAAACTGCAGCGTTTTGACCTTTTAAACTTTCTGTGTGTGGTTTATTCCTGTGTTTTGAAGAGTTTATTTTTCTTGGGGATTTGCACATTCCTTTTATGTAGTTGAACGTGCCTAACTTTTGTAAGATGCACTGATTTGGGGTGGGGGGGTTATCCAGACTTGAAGTAAACAAAGATTTGAGACAGTATAATGCCGATTGTTTAAGCTTTAAAGCCTTTGAAAAAATCAGATTTTTTTTAAAGTAGTCCTTGTATATTGTAATGTAAGCAGAATGTAAAATTCGCCAGTAGATTTTTTTTTTTTTTTTTGTAATATAAAATGTTTTTTTTTAATTTATTTATATGCCGCCCTTCTCCGGAGACTCAGGGCGGCTTACAAGGCGTTAAGCAATAGCCTTCATACTTTTGTATATTTTATTCAAAGTCAGCTTATTGCCCCCACAAACCGGGTCCTCATTTTACCTACCTTAGAAAGGATGGAAGGCTGAGTCAACCTTGAGCCTGGTGAGAATTGAACTCACAGTAATTGCAGGCAGCCGGAAGCTAAATACTACCTTTAACAGTAGCATTAGTCTGCTGCGCCACTCAGGCTCCTTTTAATGTTAATATTTGCAGTTGGGATTCTTCTATTTTAAAAAATGCACAGAAAAATTGATTAATTAGAACGCTTTTAAGACACCGGGGCTGCTTATTATGTTAGCAGAAAAGTTAATTAATCACCAGAGAACTGGATTTGCAAGCAAGCATATATAGGGGAAATAAAAGACCCGAGTCACAGATTGCCGTGCACACCCACAACACATAACATAACACAATCGCACACACTTCTTTTAACCTTAAAAAATTTAAGCCACATTGCCCAAACAGGTGATTACTTGGAACAAAATTTCCCAAACCATTATATTCCAGAAGTGTTGAGCCAGTAACTCTCGTAACTGACTAAATAGCGTTGACAATCTTGAATTCTGCTTATGATTTATTTACATTATGGCATTCAAAAGCTAAATTTGAGGCCATCGTTGTGGTCAAAGGTCCAAGTAGAAGGTCGAACAAGCTCTCTTTGAGATGCCTATAGTAAAGTCGGGGGATGCGGTGGCTCAGTTGCTAAGACGCTGAGCTTGTTGATCAGAAAGGTTGGCAGTTTGGCAGTTCAAATCCCTAGCGCCGCATAACGGAGTGAGCTCCCGTCACTTGTCCCAGCTTCTGCCAACCTAGCAGTTTGAAAGCTTGTAAAAAATGCAAGTAGAAAAATAGGGACCACTTTTGGTGGGAAGGTAATAGTGTTTCGTGCGCTTTTGGTTTTTAGTCATGCCGGCCACATGACAAACAGAATTGTCATCAGACAGCGCTGGCTCTTCGGCTTTGAAACGGAGATGAGCACCGCCCCCTAGAGTTGGGAACAACTAGCACATATGTGCGAGGGGAACCTTTACCTATAGTAAAGTCAAACCGAAACATCTCCACTGAATCTGAGTATAGTATGCTGCAGACAGGGAAATTTAACTGTGGGGTCCTTGGTGTTCTCTTGAGTTTGGTGGTTTTCTTACAGGCGTTTCATTACCAAACTAAGTAACACCATCAGTGCTAGAAGGGAGTGGGATTTGCCCTTATTTTTATATACTTCTGGCTTGTCCTGTCTGTTGGTAGGAGTGTTCTTGGTGGTTCCTTAATTAGGTTGTTGTTTACTGCTAACTTGTTCGTCTGCATTGGTTGTTCCTTGATTGGGGTATTGTTCACTTGATTGTTGGTCTGGTATCTTGGCGTTAATCTCTGCTCATAGAGAAAGGTCACTTTTAACATCATCCCAAAAGTGCTTTTTCCAAAAGGCAACTGGACTTTCTTGGGGGCTTGTTTTTTTTTCCCTTTGAAGACATTTCACTTCTCATCCAAGAAGCTTCTTCAGTTCAGAGAAGAACTTCGCTTCTGCAAAAGCGAAATATTTTCAAACGGGGGGGGGGGGGGAAACCCAAGAAACCAAATGAGGCAACTTGCTGCAGGACAATTTAACAATTCAATTGTTTAAAATAAATAAATAAATAATTTAATTTTTTGACATTTAATTTTTCACATTTCATTCTGTCCCTCCTTTTGTATCCCTTTTTTAATGATTCCATTCCACCATTTTTTTATATATATTAGTGTAACTCTTGTCCCACAACAAATGATCCCACAATTAGTTGGGCACGGCAAGTAGTTCCACAAATGGCCTTCTTGTGGGCAGCTGGCAGAGCTGGCAGCAGAGTCGGACAGTGAGGAGGCTGGGGAGGAACATGGGCCAGTCCTGGGGGCTGGGGAAAGTTCGGACGAGGGCTCTGTGTCAATGGCAGAGAGGGAGCTAGACAGTAGTGAGGCAGAGGAACAGCTGGAGCCTGTTCCCAGTGTGCGCATGCACAGAGCTGCCAGAAGACAAGAACAACTCAGAAAGCAGGGTCAACTTGGGAGTAAAGCCACACCTTGGAGGTGATTGGCCCCTCCCATAGGAAACAAAAGAGGAGCAAACAGGGAGTGGGCTTTTGCAGGAAACAATTGTTCGTTCTGTGACTCTGTGCCAAGTTTTGCCTTGTACTGTGTTTGGAAATTAGTTACCTGGCAGCCTTCCAAGCGAGACAAGGTCTGTGTTGATAAATATTCCTTTGAAAAACTGTTTGGACAGGCCTTGCTGATTGTGAATGAAAGGAATTCACAGTCGTGTAAATAAAAGAGGTTTTGCCAGGACCAAGACTCTGCTTCCTGCTTTTTAAGGGAGCCTAGGTCAGAACAGGTCCCAAGTGGCAAGTTGACCATGGGGAATTGTCATAGAAAATCCAGTTGCCTTTTGGAAAAAGCACCTTTTGGACAAACATGACCTGAACGATTGAGAATCTCCATAAACTTTTAACATCAAGGCATAAATAAATACTGGGAATATTAAGGAACATGGATCAAAATCATTACTCCCGGCTTTTTATTCCTTGTATACACCAATATTTGAAACGGCTCTATTTCCCTCGTAGAAGATGGTGAAAACAAGTGTTCTGACTTGATTTTGTACCGTGCAATTTAATGATGTGGAAAAAGTAATATCCCTGGGTTCAGAGTCACACTTCTAGGGTAATAGCCAGCTGATTAGCTTCATCTTTTCTCTTCCTCGACTGGCTTTTTCCTCTTGTATAAATTTACTTTAATTGCCAGCCTTATCTTGAAACAGCTCTTTAAACGACCTCTTGTTAGGTCTACTTAAAGATCATGTGTCTTTGTGCGTTTGGCAGGCTCTGGAAATCAGCACTCAACTCACACACAAATACACACCCCCAAACAAGCATTGTAAGTAATACAGAAACAACACCAGCAGTATAGGGAGGCGGGGAGGGAAGGAAGGAAGAAGAGACCTCCATTAACACATTCTGCTGCATTCCCTTGATTGCATAATCAACAGCTAATGAAATTGTCCTAGTAACCGGAATGAGGGGGTTGAAGCACATCCCCTCGAGACTGAAGTGGAAAGAGAATTTGTACCACGTGAAGCCTATTGATTGTTCACCGTTTGAATCTGATTACCCTTCAGAGGAGTAAAACAAGGATCCCATCTCCCAACTTGCCTCAGGGGGTTGTCGTTTGCGTACCGTGTTTCCCCGAAAATATGACCTACTCCGAAAGTAAGTCCTAGCTTGATTTTTACATGTGCACCTAATATAAGCCCTACCCCCCCCCCCCAAAAAATAAGTCCTAATTAAAACCCTGCCCATTCCACGGTGCACAGGTAAAAATTAAGTTAGGGTGGGGATGGGTGGGTGGAGCTGCCCTACTACTTACCTTCGGACAGTTGCAGCCAGGCCTCGCACAGCCCGACAACACCAGATCTGGAGCTCTGTTAACTCTTTGGTTTAAGCCAGGGGTCCTCAATCTTTTTAAACAGGGGGCGAATTCATGGTCCCTCAGACTTTGGGGGGGTGGCTGGGGGGGTACTAGGTGGGCATGTGACTGTGTGGGCATGGGCAATTCAGCAGTCCAAACAATACACACAAATTAAACTTTAATTTGTTATGCTCCTGGGGGCGGAAAGCAGATTAGTGAAGGGATGTGGCTGCCTTGGGGTGTGTACAAGAGACTTCTGTTTCTCTCTCTCCCTCTCCCTCTCCCTCTCTCTCTCTGTCCCTCCTTCTCTTTCCTTCCCTCCCTCTCTCTCCCTTTCTCCCTCTCTCTCTCTCTCTCCCTTCCTCCCTCTCTCTCTCCCTCTCTCCCTCTCTCTGCCAGGGAGGCAAAAACGGGGCCCATTTTTGGCCTCTATACATCCCGTTTTTGGCCTTCCTGGCCTCCAGTACCACTCTGTCGGCCAAAAATGGGACGCTGGCAGAATGGTACTGGAGCCCGGGGAGGCCAAAAACGAGCCCATTTTTGGCCTCCAGGTGTCCCGTTTTTGGCCTCCAAAAGGTGAGTGGGGGCCGGCGGGTAGGTGGGGCGATGTGGGCAGGGCAGCCTCGTGGTCCTGCGCGGGCCGGATTAATGACCTCGGTCAGCCGTATCCGGCCCACGGGCCATAGTTTGAGGACCCCTGACTTAAGCAGAGGCCATTGTGAGAAACCTTTCGGACTTCTGAATATCCTGCCTGAAGCAACTTTTTTTGTATTTTTGCCACAGGAGGAAACCCCAAAGGGAAGTTTGCTCTTGGCCTGGTTCAGAACGAATGGAAGGTGTACGTCAAGAGGCCTCTGGATCGAGAAGAGCAGGATGTCTACCTGCTGAACATTACAGCCACGGATGGACTGTTCGTAACCCAGAGTGCGGTGGAAGTGACCGTCACCGATGTTAATGACAACAGCCCTGTCTGTGATCAGGTTAGTTGGCAGCTTTTTCAACAGATGGAAATTAAGATTAGATCAGATAAACAGATAGATAAAACTGGAGATTTTTTTTTTTTTTGGAACATATTATGCATCGCATGTCCAATGACAACTATCTGGAGATGGGTCAGTACCAGAGGTGGGATTCACTTACTTTCCCTACCAGTTTGCAAATGTGAGCACATGCGCCACCTCTGCACATGCATAGTAGTCACACATTATGTTCGGGTGGGTGGGCGGAGCCTCCCGCATTCGCTGCTACCGGTTCACGCGATCCGTACCGAACCCCATCACTGGTCAGTACGATCTAAAAATGGATAATGAATGGAGCGCAGGCACTGAGCAGCACTTCCAAACCAACTGCTGTATACATGGCATAGCAATAGCACTTAGACTTATATACCACTTCATGATGCTTTACAGCCCCTCTCTAAGCGGTTTACAACATGGTAAATTGAGACCGTTGGCATTTTTTAATTGACCATTATTTGTCAGTCTTAAATTGGAATAACTGTTTTTTTTCTTTTCTTTTTTCTTTTTTCTTTTTTTCTTTTTTTTTCTTTTCTTTTCTTTTCTTTTTTTTTTTTTTTGATCTTAAGGTTACATATATGGCAATATTTCCCGAGGACATCCCTCCCAACAAAATCATCCTTAAAATGGGTGCACAAGATGTAGACATTGGATCCAACGGTGAAATTCGCTATTCTTTATATGGCTCAGGAAACGGCAAGTTTCTTTTGGATCCTGAAAATGGTAAGACGATGATGAATTTTTACACGGATGATTTCTCTGCTTGATTACTGCTGAAATTACAGCTACTTAGGAAGCTTGCCGATTTCTCTCCCTCAGCCTCTAGGTACCTCCTTCACATTACTGCCAAAATATGCTGGCTGCTTCCAACATTTTGCTTATTTAGAAGTTGCCTAGTAGTTCTAAAAATAGATCTTATAGAGGAGACCACATTTGTCCAACAGAACAGAACAGAGTAGAGTAGAGTAGAATAAACTAGAATAGAACATAGAATTAGAGTTGGAAGGGAACTTAGAAGTCATCCAGTCCAACTCCCTGCTCAAGCAGGAGGTCCTATACCAGTATTGGCGAACCTTTTCAGCATTGAGTGCCGAAATGGGAGTGCATGTGCGCGTGCTGGAAACTGGAAGGCGAGCCGCCTGGTCCGCATGCGCGCGCCAGGAAAATAATCTTCTGGTTTCCTGTGCACACATGCGTGCCGGCCACCTGGTCTTCCAGGTTCTGATACGCATGAAGCCCAGCTGGCCAGCACGTACTGGAAACTGGAAGAGCAGCCACACAATGTGCATGCCAGAAACCATAAGATCATCTTTCCGGCATGCGCATGCACTCCAGGCAGCTGCTCTTCTGGTTTCTGGCCCTCCTGCGTGTGTGAAGACCAGCTGGCCGGCACGCCGGAACCTGGAACGGCAACGGTCAATGGCTCACGTGCCCAGAGAGATGGCTCTGCGTACCACTTCCATAGGTCCACCATCACGGCCCTAGGTTCACCATCACGGCCCTATACCATTTCAGACAAATGGCTGTCCTGTCTCTTCTTGGAAGCCTCCAGTGATGGAGCACCCATAACGTCTGAAGACAAGCCGTTCCACTGGTGGATTGTTTGCACTATTAGGAAATTTCTCCTTAGTTCTAGGTTGCTTCTCTCCTCGATGAGTTTCTATCCATTGCTTCTTGCCCTGCCTTCAGGTGCTTCGGAGAATAGGTTGGCTCCCCTCAAGCTATTTAGAAATTGAATGGAATGGAGGAATCAGAACACTTCACTTCATTTGGCCAAATGTGATTAGACGCACAAAGAATTTGTCTCTGGTGCAGAAGCTCTCAAGATGCTTCTTAAGATGAACCTTTCCCTTCCCTTTCCGATATGCAGCTCCTTCATCTGTTTTAAGGATCGTAACCCAGAAATGAGCCAGTGGCAATTGTTACTCACCTATTTGCTGGTGTGATTGGCCGCATGCATGACTAACCGTTATCTACGATTATTCTTCTGCCTGAGTGAAGCCCGTTGGTTACTTTCAGTCTTAGAACTCTATATGCCTATCCATTAGAGCCGTGCATTAAAAATGCATTTTTTTTCTCTGTGAGGTCTCTTTCAGTTTAATGGAAGAAATATAGCTTGCAACGTTGCCTTGAAAGGAAGAGAGAATTTTTCTAGCAGGAGGGTAGTGCCTGGGCACTTATTTAATGATGAAGTGGCCAAGTTGTTCGCTTGAGTGTCTAATCTTCCACTATACAATCATCTCTTCAGCAGCTTACCACTATTCCGCCTCCTGATACTTCAGTTCCTCTCTTGCAGTACACTTGCCTCCATCCCAAGCTGTTTATCAATGCTATGCAATTTTTTTTTTTTTTTAACAGTTTGGGAGGAGATACAAGGAGGGGTTGCAGTGAAAAGGGAAATTCTGGTAATTTATCAGCAGCAACTTGTTAGGCCGATGATAGAAATGTGCAGATTAGGTCAGGTTGGTCCATGTAACTTGGCATTTAGAGATCCAGGGAGTGTTGTAAGGGAGACATCATTTTGGTGAAGAACATCAAACGTCAATGAACATTTACCTTGTTGTATTAAAAAACCTTGTTGTTGTTAGTTGCGAAATCGTGTCCGACCTATCGGGACCCCATGGGCAATGTTTCTGCAGGCCTTCCTGTCCTCTACCATCCTCTGGAGTCCATTTAATCTCATGCCAACTGCTTCAGTGACTCCATCCAGCCACCTCGTTCTCTGTTGTCCCCTTCTTCTTTTGCCCTCAATCGTTCCCAGCATTAGGCTCTTCTCCAGTTCTTCCTTCTCATTAGGTAGCCAAAGTATTTGAGTTTCCTCTTCAGGACCTGGCCTTCTAAAGAGCAGTCAGGGTTGGTCTCCTCTAGGACTGACCAGTTTGATCACCTTGCAGTCCAAGGGACTCACTGGAGTCATCTCCAGCACCATAGTTCAGCTGATTTTTGGGCCTTCCAGGCCCACCGGAAGATGTGCCGTTTCCATCCTCCGAAGGGCCTCCAGGGGGTGGGGAAGCTGTTTTTGCCCTCCCCAGGCTCCAAGAAACCCTCTGGAGCCTGGGGAAGGCGAAAAACCGGCCTACCGGGCCCACCGGTAACCTTTTTTTTTTTTTTAAATTTGATTTATATGCCGCCCTTCTCCAGAGACTCAGGGCGGCTTACAATGTGCTAAGCAATCGTGTGCCAAAAATCGAGGGAAGCGCAGGGGAGTCGTGCACGCATGCCTGGGGGATTGGGGCACCGGGAGGTCATTGAATTATGGGTGTGGGCACACACACGCAGGACTCACCCACCCCCCCGCGCGACCCCCGCTTTTGGCACACGACAGCAAAAAGGTTAGCCATCACTGGAATAGAGTAACTTTATTGTCACTTTGAATGTACGCTAATTGTCATACATTGAAAATGAAATTTCATTGCATACAGCTCGTAAAGGGTCACCACTTCCAATTTTACACTACATATTATAACATTTACAAATTACTTTGTAAAAACAAAACCGTAGTGTTAATAATAAAATAATGATATTGTCATGACGGTCCACTTATTTTTCCCTGTTTTATCTTTTTTTCCCCTTGAATTGGTTTTAGGGGAGCTCAAAACCTTAGCTCCGTTAGACCGTGAAAAGACCCCTGTCTACAATCTGATCGCCCAGGCAACTGATGGGGGAGGGAAATTCTGTCAATCAAAACTCCATCTAATATTGGAAGATGTCAATGATAATCCTCCACTGTTTTCTTCTGACCACTACACCGCCTGCGTCTATGAGAACACCGCCACCAAAGCCTTGTTGACAAGAGTTCAAGCCAATGACCCTGATGTAGGTGAGTATAGGACACTAAAAGCAACACCGATTAGAAGCGTGTAAGTAGAACTTGGTAAGGGGTAGCCTTTATTTCCCCTGTAATTTATGCATTATCTTTTAACAGCAATGGTAAAATTCAGAAATAGCACAAGAAACTGACGTTCTCACATTTGGATTTGGTCCCCAAACCCAAAGCTCACGTTCGTTGGTTAAATAGTGCCTTAGCCCAGTCACCAGGCTAGAAACCAGGAGACTGTGAGTTCTAGTCCCATCTTAAACATGTGAAAGACAACTTGGTGATTTTGGGCCAATCACCAGGAGACTGTGAGTTCTAGTTCTGCTGGGTGGTTGGTTTTGGGCAAATGACCAGGAGACTGAGTTTTAATCCTACCTCAGCTAGCCGAGTGACTTGGGGCCAGTCGTTATCTCTCAGCCTAATCCTTCTCACAAGTTTATTATTGTGAGGAAAATAGGAAGAAGGAATGTTGTCTATGTTCACAACCTTGAATTATTTATAGTAATAATAATGGTGAAATATAAATCAATTCAATATTTTTTTAAAAAAATGAGATTAGGTTTGGTTTTGTGGTTAAAGCATTAGATTAGAAACTGGAAGAATGTGACTTACAGTCCCAGCTTTGGCACAAACCCAGCTGAGTGATGGTGGGCCAGTCACTTTCTCTCAGCCCTAGGAAGCAGCCAATGGTAAATCACTTCTGAAAAACCTTGCCAAGTAAACTGCAAGGACTCATCCAGGCAGCCTCTAAGAATCAGACACAACTGAATAGAAAAGGGGAGGGGGACAAAATAGTAGAAAGTCCATGGCAGGGGTGAAATCCAGCAGGTTCTAACAGGTTCTGGAGAACTGGTAGCGGAAATTTTGAGTAGTTCGGAGAACCGGCAAATACCACCTCTGGCTGGCCACAGAGTGGGGTTGGAATGGAGATTTTGCAGTATCCTTCCCCTGGAGTGGGGTGGGAATGGAGATTTTTGCAATATCCTTCCCCTGCCACGCCTACCAAGCCACGCCCACAGAACCGGTAGGGAAAAATTTTGGATTTCACCCCTGGTCCATGGGACTAAATTAGCTCATAGATAGATGGTACTCAAAAGTTACCAGGCAGAGAAGTGTTGCAAGAGATTCATTTTTGCCAACATTTTCTGAAATCCTTATATAGCAATAGCACTTAGACTTATATACCACTTCACAGTGCTTTACAGCCCTCTCTAAGCGGTTTACAGGGTCAGCCTATTGCCCCCAACAATCTGGGTCCTCATTTTACCCACCTTGGAAGGATGGAAGGCTGAGTCAACGTTGAGCCTGGTGAGATTCGATCTGCCAAACTGCTGGCAGCCGGTGATCAGCAGAAGTAGCCTGCAGTACTGCACTCTAACCACTGCATCACTGCGGCTCTTACATGTGTAGGAGATGACCAGGCTGAGCCCGAGGGAGGGGTCAAATGTGTCATAAGTCATGAGTCCGTACGCACCCACAACAGATCTAAGTCCAGCCCATCTTGAATGACTATCTTATCTCCCGCTTATTTCCCTTGACTGTTGGTTGGTCAGATTCTTGTTAGAGAACTTAACCTTGCAATAAATCTTTATACTCATTTGCACTCCTCTGGCTCTTGAAAATATGATTGTGCAAAGTGGCAGTGCAGCATCAGGGAAAGTTTTTATTAGTGTGCCCTGGCTGTGATTTTGGGAGCCTCTCAGATAAAATATCAGTCAATTGCAGTTTGATCATCTCGTAAACTTTGTAAGGAAAATGCATTTCACCTGTCTCTGAAGGATTTTTGCTAGCAAAAGACAAACTCTAGGCAGGGTTGAATTAATGCAGAAGTTCATCCCATTGCAAAGCCTAGTCCCGTGATGGTGAACCTATGGCACACGTGCCTGTTGTGCCCCGCCAGCGGCCTGCGCGGATTGTGGCTGATCCCGACGAAGAGGAGGCTGATGTGGTGTTGCGCCAGCAGCCTGCACAGCCGGCACTCACGTCGGACAGCGAGGAGGCTGAAGAGGATGTGGTGCCAGAGGCAGAGACTCAGCCAGGGCCTTCAAAACCTCCAGAGGCTCCTTCCAGTGGAGAGAGCGAAGTGGAGGAGCCTCTCCTCAATGCTCGGGCACGCAGGGCTGCCAAAAGGCAGGAGTGGCTACTCAGGAGGAGGAGGTCTCCTCGAGAGTAAGGCTTGAGGATAATTGACCACTCCCTTAGCCTATTTAAGTCGCACGCAGCTAGTGCTTTCTTGCTGGAAACAACTCGTATTTTATTATCAGAGTATTTTGGTTTATCATATCTTGTTTTCTGGGCTGGTTGCCAACCTTTGCTGGTCTTGTTTATTCTTGCTACTTAATAAATTTGATAAGGACCGTTGGTGTGTGTCAATATCCTCGGAAATCCAGAGCTGGGGCAGAACAGTGGCACGCAGAGCCCTCTCTGTGGGCACGCCAGCCGTCGCCCCAGCCCAGCTCCACCGTGCATGTGTGCGTGCCTCCCACCAGCCAGCTGGTCTTTGGGTCTCTGCCGCGCATGCGTGGGGGATGGGGCACATGTGGGGGACACACGTGTGCATGTGCGGGAGGGCAGGGCGCATGTGCGGGTAGGTGCAGGAGGTTTTTCAGGCTCAAAACGGGGTGGGGGGGGCCTGCGTCCCCATGCTCCATTTTAGGTCTGGAAAGCCTTTTGTACCAACCTGGAAGAAAAAACCGGGGGGGGGGGTGAATGAGCCCCCCCCCCCGCACCCCATTTTTGGCCTGGAAAGCCTCCTGCACCAACCTGGAAGCCAAAACAGGTGCGGGGGCGCATGCTCGGGGTGTGTGCATGCACGGGGATGCGCACGCATGGGCAGAGGTGGGGCGCATGCGCCGGGGGGACTCTGGCATTGCATTTTGGGGGTTTGGGCACTCACTTGTGCATTCGCACGCACACATATGTGCTTTGGGCACTCGGCACCCAAAAGGTTAGCCATCACTGGCCTAGTCATTGCAGGTTGTCCAAGTTCATTGGCATTAGATTTGCCACGGGATTCACAAACTTCCCTAAATAAAAATAGGATTCAACTTTGGAATCTTACCTGTCTTTGGATGTTTGTTGAAAACAAAACGTGGGAATTCTACTGAACCTCTTAACTGTTCATACTAGGAAGAAAGTGCTGCTTAAAAATATTTGAATTTGCATTTTGCATTTGAATCTTAGAATGCAGATCAAAATCAAAATTTGAATGCAAACAGAAGATGTATGAACATTCTTTCCTTTTGTCGCTACTTCATGTTAGAAATAAGAGAGCGGAGCCATGAGAAAGAGAAACAAAGAGCCAGCAGATTTTATAGTTAATGATGAATAGCGCAGATTTCCTTCTCTAACTTTTGACTTGTAGCTTAGCTATTAAGGTCAAATGCAAACACAGGATGCCGGTAATAAAACATGACAGTATTGATATGTGAATATTAAAAGAAAGATCTCTTGATTCAGCAGTCTGTTAATACAGCTATAAATCCTTCCGTACTGAAGACAGGCAACCCTCTCTCCATGCGTGGTCGTCTTTTGAGAACATGCCATTTGCACAGTGATACCGGCTTTAAAAGGGACACAGTGGCTCAGCGGGTAAGATGCTGAGCTTGTCAATCGAAAGGTCGGCAGTTCAGTGGTTCGAATCCCTAGCGCCGTGTAACAGGGTGAGCTCCCGTTACTTGTCCCAGCTTCTGCCAACCTAGCAGTTCAAAAGCACGTTAAAAAATGCAAGTAGAAAAATAGGGACTACCTATTTGTTTTAATCAATCCAATATATTTCTTTAATTAGTTTCCATCCATTGTTTCTTGTCTTGCCTTCTGGTGCTTTGGAAAATAAGTTGACCTTCCTCTTCTTTGTTTGATAATAGGCTTTTGGGCTCAGTTTAGAGCACTGAGATTGATCAAATATAACCAAGTCTTAAGAGAATTAGGAATTACCACAATTAGCCATTAAGGCTAGTTGGGCATCTATCAGTAACTGAAGAATTCATGATTCCTGAAGCCATTTAGATAACAGCTAGATCTCTTCTAACTGGAATCTCCCTTGTCTGTGCACACATGTAGGGAGAGAATGCGGTTAGTCCTGGCCAGGGGTGGGCTTCAGATCCTTTAGAAACTGGTTTGCTGCCCTGTTGCTGGGTGGGCATGGGGTAGTCGGCCACCTGCACCACAGCTGGGGGGGGGCATTTTTCACCCTCCCCAGGCTCCAGAGGCTTTTCTTGACCTCCAGGACGGCAAAAACTGCTTCCCCTGGGGTCTGGAGGCCCTCCAGAGGCCGGAGACAGGCCCTTTTCCGGACTTCCGGAACCTCGGATAGGCCCGGTTTTTGCCCTGCCAGACCCTCCGCGCGGCCCCTGCACTTACCTGAAATGATGAACAGGCCGCGTGGAGACTCCTTGGAGGGGAGGGGCGGGAGGGGCATGGCCAGCCAGGGGTGGCATTTGGGGGGGCTTCGCCAAATCCCGCCAATCCTTGGCAAGAGGATCGCCCAAACCCTGCCGAATCCCCAGGAGCCCACCACTGGTCCTGGCCTAACATGAATTTAAAGTTCATGACTGTATAAATAAAGGTAACGATTTCCATGAATGGGTTTAAGACAAGCTGATTTCATATGGATTCCTTTTAGATCAATTTTGACTTCAGTATGGATTCTTAATTGTGGTTTGTTCCACTGCTCTAAATCAAGAAATGGAAATTTGCAATTAATGAAAAAAAAAAAATTCCTGGTTTGTTAATTCATTTTCGTAAAAGGGTAAAGATAGCATCTTCTCTTTAGAGTAAAACTAGAAGAATAAAAATTTATAAATACTCATTTATAAATAGTAATTGTAGCTATTTGTTGTTCTGTTTTATGTAACTCACCAATAACTTACCTGACATTGGGGTCGGGGTAATTCGTGCAATAGAAGTAAATAATAGTAATGATGGATGACTTGAATCTGCAAAGACTTTAAAATACCAATGAATCAAGTAGGCATATAATAAAATCATAATTTAAATACTACTTACCTTTAATAACTGCAGAATGTTAGGAGATAAATCCTGTGTGTATCGACATGTAGATTCTAAATTATAATTGAAGTACCATTTCTGCCTAATGACTTTTTCAAGGTTTCATGTCATCACCTTTGGATAAATCAAAAATGGTTTTCTTAAAAAAAAAAAAAAAAAAAAAAAACCTGTTCCTTGGAGAGTGTCATCTAATCTTTGGTAATATAATTTAAAAAGTGTTCATATATTGTTCTTATGATTGCATTTTATGAATATGCTTAGACAACAGGGCATCCTTCCCCAGGCCTTTCTAAGCAAGGAATTGTCCTCCCGACATATCGAGCGGAAAATAAATGTATGTTACATTCCGATCCATGTTAATTGGTTTTATAAAATAACATTTCTGTCATTATAAAAAAAAAAAAGAAAAGAATTGCCCAGTTGGATGGCTGAAGCTATTTGATCTTGACGGAGCTGGAAAAGTTGGTGAGGTTTATAGGAGGTTTAACCTTCTGAGTTTTCACTGCAAAATCTGTAATGACCACTAAAGACAGAGGTCATTATTAGTGGTGGGTTGCTACCGGTTCTCCCCGGTTCTTGCGAACCGGTAGTGGAAATTTTGAGTAGTTCGGAGAACTGGTAAATACCACCTTTGCCTGGCCCCGCCCCCAATCTATTTGCTGCCTCCCGAGTCCCAGCTGATCGGCTAGAAGGAAAAAATCAGGGCTCACTTGACAAAGAAGGGAAAAAATAACCAAGACACCTTAGCTTTAAATTGAGAAGCCGAGAAGCCTCCCAATTGATCGGCTAAAACCGATCCGCACCTTGTAAACCGCTCGGTGGTGGTAGATTGGCAATTGAGGCCAAGCTGCCTGAAAGCGGTTTCCAATGCTCTCGGTGGTGGCAGAGCAGCAAAAAAACTGTTTAAACTCTTGCCGCGGCGCTTCAAAGGGCCACCCTACAGCTGATCAGCGGGAAAAGGCCGTCTGGTGGTAGACCGGTGCGCTCCAAAAACAAATAGGTACATCAGAATGCTCCAAAAATAAATGGGTAGACCAGTATAGCTCTACAAGCAGTTAAAAGCCTGGTGGACCAGTACCTCTGCTAAATCCTAAAGAATTGTTTCTCACATGACCATCAAACCACACGTAGAAAATAAGACATGCCCACAGAACCGGTAGTAAAAAAAATTTAGAACCCACCCCTGGTCTTCAAACTTGGCAGCTTTAAGACTTGTGAACTTCAACTCCCAAAATTCTGGCTGGAGAATTCTGGGTGTTGAAGTCCACAAATCTTAAAGCTGCCAAGTTTGAAGACCTCTAACTAAAAGTAAAGGTAAAGATTCCCCTCGCACATATGTGCTAGATGTTCCCGACTGTAGGGGGCGGTGCTCATCTCCGTTTCAAAGCCGAAGAGCCAGCACTGTCTGAAGACGTCTCTGTGGTCATCTGGCCAGCATGACTAGATGCCAAAGGCGCACGGAACGCTGTTACCTTTCCACCAAAGGTGGTTCCTATTTTTCTACTTGCATTGTTTACGTGCTTTCGAACTGCTAGGTTGGCAGAAGCTGGGACAAGTAACAGGAGCTCCCCTGTTACACGGCACCAGGGATTCGAACAGCTGAACTGCCGATCTTTCGATCGACAAGCTCAGCATCTTAGCCACGGAGCCACCGCGTCCTAGTAATGACCACTAGATGGCAGCAAATGTATAAACATCATGGTGATTCTCTTCGTTGCCATCTAATGGCTGTCTATATTTTTGCATGTTTTATGTGATAGCAGCTCTTCTCGATTAGCATGTGAGCGAAAGTCTCCCAGGAAATTCCAAGGTAAAATGGAAAGTTAAAAAGTAACTCCCCGGAGAAAAGCGTTAGGGAATCATTTTTGTCCTGCTGCTAAAATATATGGGCAGCCATGAAATCATCACAACCTTGAAGGAAGCTTTATCTTTCAAGTACTACTAAAGGAATGTCACCCAATTTTGAATTAATGAAGTATAACTAGAAGCAGGATGTGGAGTTTGTGTTCGGAAGTGATTGATGTCAGGCAAATAGTAGTTCTGGCTCGAAAACAAATGTCTTCCTACTTCTGTTGGCTTCAAAGGAGAGGGAAAGTTGACTTTAAAAGACTGTTGTGTTCTTTGTTTGTTCCCCTTTGCCACTGCTAAGTTGTACAGTTATGGCAACAACAACATGGAAATGTGCAGAACTTAGTTTTTGCATTTGTGTTCAATTAGGCTGAAAGCAAGATGGGGCTCCTCTTGCCATCTTACCTGATTTCCAGCTCTGCGTTTAAATATTTTCAGGGAAGGCTTATTTTTTTGGGGGGGGGAGTTATTTTACCGCATGCGCTCAAAAGCCTGATTGGGCTTATTATCATGGGATGTCTTATTTTCGGCGAAACAGAGTACCTGTATCTCCCTGCTCTGCTGCTGCTAATGCTGAACTATGCGCGGTTAAAGTGTTGTGCCATGTTGGCATCTTGGTCTTTTCTGCCTCGGAGAATTAAAAAGAACTGCTGTTCTCTCCTCTTCTCTTCTTCAGGGGTGAACCGAAAGATTGTGTATTCCCTGGCCGATTCTTCAGAAGGTTTCTTCTCTGTGGACATGTCCTCAGGGATCATCATTTTGGAACATCCTCTGGATCGGGAACTTCAGTCTTCCTATAATGTCACCATTAAAGCTTCCGACCAGGGAATTGTGCAGACACTGTCCTCGTTTGCCACCGTTACAATTACCGTCCTGGACATTAATGACAACCCCCCTGTCTTTGAGAGGAGAGATTACCTGGTTGAGGTGCCCGAGGACACCTCCCCAAATGCCGAGATACTTTTTGTCTTTGCAACCAGCAAAGACATTGGTACAAATGCAGAGATCACCTACCTCATCAGATCGGGCAACGAAAAAGGAAAATTCCAAATCGATTCTAAAACAGGTACGTTTACCAAAATAAGGAGAAGGCTTATCAAGCAGGTTTAAAAATAATCCTTTCATTTTATAGCTGGGTAAGGAATAACAGGGGTTGTTGAGGGTTTTTTTTTTTTTTGCACTGTACACATCACTGCTTATATTTAAGTTGGGTTCTGTTGTTACTAATTTATGCTTCAACCCAGGAGCAACAGAACAATGTTACAAAAATCCTGAAGAATCTCCAATGTCAATAAAGGAGAATATTTGTACCTCGGGGTTGAAATAAGGGGTCCTTGGTGCTCTCTGAGGTTGCTTGTTTTCTTGCAAACGCTTCATGACCCTAACTAGGTAAAGTCATCAATGCTAGCACTATTGCTAGTTACCTAGTTAGGCTAATGAAACGTTTGCAGGAAAACAAGCAACCTCAGAGAGCACCAAGGATGCCTAATCTCCATTGTGCCTGGTAAAATTCAATATAGAATTTACGTAATGCCTGCAGTCCTCATTTTCACTAAACTAAGCGCCGTTGAACTTCTGTAGAACTAGTTCTGAATAAGCCCACGTTGGATTTTGCTATAAAACAACATTTCCAACCAGTCCTCTGTAAATGATGTAAAAAAGATGTGAAGACTCTAGAAAGAGTGCAGAGAAGAGCAACGAAGATGATTAGGGGACTGGAGGCTAAAACATATGAAGAACGGTTGCAGGAACTGGGTATGTCTAGTTTAATGAAGAGAAAGACTAGGAGTGACATGATAACATTGTTCCAATATCTCAGGGGCTGCCACAAAGAAGAAGGAGTCAAGCTATTCTCCAAAGCACCTGAGGGCAGGACAAAAAGCAACAGATGGGAACTAATCAAGGAGAGAAGCAACTTAGAACTAAGGAGAAATTTCCTGACAGTTAGAACAATTAATCAGTGGAACAACTTGCCTCCAGAAGTTGTGAATGCTCCAACACTGGAAGTTTTTAAGAAGATGTTGGAAACCCATTCGTCTGAAGTAGTGTAGGGTTTCCTGCCTAAGCAGGGGGTTGGACTATAAGACCTCCAAGGTCCCTTCCAACTCTGTTATTCCATTCCATTCCATTCCATTGCATGTGTGCCAGAGGTGGCACGCAGAGCCTTCTCTGTGGGTACCTGCACCATCACCAGCTGCTCTTCTGATTTCCGGTGTTCCGGCGCACATGAAGACCAGCTGAAATCTGAAGACCAGTTCAGCTCAGTTGAATGATGATGTGATGAGCATGTGCGCTCACTTGCTCACACGTGCCACTTTCAAGCATGCACAGAGCCTTCCGCGCATGCACAAAGCATCAAAAACGGGACGTGATGACGTCTGGGCAGGTGGGCAGAGCCTCCCAGAGCCGCCGCTACCAGTTCGCCTGAACCAGATAGAACCAGCTGAATACCACCACTGGATTATGGGGTCATTAAAAGAAGATGATGTCATGTGTTATGTGATCACCTTTTGCAACCAGATCCTGACAAGCAAAGTCAGTGGGGGAAGCCAGGTTCACTAAACAACCATGTTACTAACTTAACGACTGCAATGATTCACTAAGAACAGTCATAAAATGGGGCAAAATTGATTTAACAGCTGCAACAGAGATTTTGGGCTCAGTTGTGGTCGTACGTCGAGGACTACCCATAACTTGGCCTTTCATTCCCTTTAGATTCAAACACCGTGTGTATTTTTGCAAAGGCTTTTTCGCACTGACCTCAAGTCAAATAAACAATAACAACAAAGAAGCCTCTTCTACATTTTTCCATTGCTACCAATGAAAAGGAGAAATAGGTCCATTGAGTTAATCTTCATTCAAGCTTCCATGCAGCGTTTTTGTGTTTGTTTGTTTGCTTGCTTTTGTTTTCCTATTCCCTTTCTTTTCTGCCAGTTCCTGAAATCTCTCTCTCTTTTTTTTTTTTTAGTCAGTAGAGATTTTTAGAGATACCACTCAAGGGCACTTTTAAGTTTTGATATTTGAGAGAGCTGGAGTGGTGTTAGCATTTTACGTCTCCTTGGTATTGGAACAAAAGCAATAGTTAAAGCTCTATTTCAAAGGAAGACAAGAAGGTAAATCAATTAAAAATAGTGACATTTAATTACCAATGAGGTATTTATTCTGTGTTAATGAATGACAGCTTCCCTATCAACAAATCAGCAGTAGGCACTAAAGACTCAAAGCAATCCTGTAATTATGTAAAATATCTGATGAATTTATTATTTTTTTTAAAAAAAAATTATCCCCAGCCTAGTAGTGATGGATGTTTTATGCCGATGCTTGTCCATGCTGACAAATGTATAGTATTTTTTCCCCCTGAAGTTGGAAAGAACTTCACCTAAGTTTCCCATGGCAAATTGTTGGGGAGAAATAAGAATGTTGGTCAATAGTCAGAAATCAAGGCCAACCTTCAGTGGTTGACATGAAGATAGGAGATGGCTGGGACTAGATAGTCTTTAGATGCCTTTTTGTTTTTTCAAATTAAGCTATCACTTTTGGGAACATAAGACACGCAGTGGCTCAGTGGCTAAGATGCTGAGCTTGTCGATTGAAAGGTCAGCAGTTCAGCGGTTCGAATCCCTAGTGCCGCGTAACGGGGTGAGCTCCCTTTACTTGTCCCAGCTTCTGCCAACCTAGCAGTTCAAAAGCACGTAAAAATGCAAGTAGAAAAATAGGGACCACCTTTGGTGGGAAGGTAACAGCGTTCCGTGCGCCTTTGGTGTTAAGTCATGCCGGTACATGGCCATGGAGACGTCTTTGGACAGCGCTGGCTCTTCAGCTTTGAAACGGAGATGAGCAGTGCCTCATAGAGTCGGGAACGACTAGCACATATGTGCAAGGGGAACCTTTACCTTTACCTTTTTATCTTTGGGGAACATATTTGGAAGGTGATGCTCTCACCAAATGTCTGCTTCGAAAGGAGTGGCCAGTTCACAAACTAACCACTTACTAGAAATACGGTGCTGCATTGAGATTATTCTATCCTAAACCGCTTAGCTCCCCAAAGATACTGTCTGCCAGTTCAGCTTATCTTTGTCTTTTGTTTTTTTTAAGTGCCCTCTCCTAAAAACATATTAGAGTTTTGGATACCAACCAGTTTTTATTTTCCAAGTATACCTCTTGGAAGTGAAGTTAAAGCTAGAGACTTGTACTTTGCGGTATGTCAGCTTCCAGTTTTTAATTTTCAATGAAAGTAATGTTTTAAAAAAAATGTCCACTGAGAGAGTGTTCACAACATATGGACAGACTTATCCATAATTTCAACTGGGAAACTGTGAGCGTCCTAGTCCAAACCAAGTCAAAAAATGATAAGAGAATTCTTATCAAATTGGCCATCAACAGGCACATAGAGATAAACAACATCTACATGCCATTCAAAAGGGATGTGGTGGCTCAGTGGCTAAGATGCTGAGCTTGTCGATCGAAAGGTCGGCAGTTCAGCGGTTCGAATCCCTAGTGCCACGTAATGGGGTGAGCTCCCGTTACTTGTCCCAGCTTCTGCCAACCTAGCAGTTCGAAAGCAGGTAAAAAATACAAGTAGAAAAATAGGAACCACCTTTGGTGGGAAGGTAACAGCATTCCGTGTTCCTTTGGTATCTAGTCATGCCGGCCACATGATCATGGAGACGTTTTTGGACATTGCTGGCTCTTTGGCTTTGAAATGGAGATGAGCACCGTCCCCTAGAGTCGGGAACAACTAGCACATATGTGCGAGGGGAACCTTTACCGTTACCTTACATACCATTCAAAGAGACAAAGGCCAAAAAGGAAACATAAAGATAAACTAAGTTTCCCAGGACAAATGGTTGAAGAGAACTAAGACTTTTGGCCAACAGTCTGAAATCAAGGCAGGCAGCATCCAGATGAACAGAGCTTAACACCAAGACCAACATTAGATCAACAATCAAGAAGCAAACAATACCCCAATTAAGGAACTACCAATTCAGAGAAGCAATCTAAGAGTAAACAGTCTAATGAAGGAACCATCAAGAGCACTCTGACCAACACTGATAGGACAAAGCCACTAGTTTATAAAGTGAGAGCCAACCCCACATCCTACTAACACTAATGGTGTTAACCTAGTTTGGTAATGAAACATCTGCAAGAAAACAACCAAGCTCAGAGAGCACCAAGGATCCCACGGAATCTCATATTTAGTCTGACATTGAAAAGATATCGATCAAATGCCAATAACACCTAAGGAATTATGTTTCTGTGACAATTGAATTTCCAATTCGAATATTTCTCTGTTTAATAAAAGGAACCCAGTGACATTCGCATTGATACAGATCTTTTCTTTCATTCTGACCAGCTTTGCTCCTTCCAACATGAAAAGTATATCAGAAGTGGCTTTACTATATCATCTGGATTGTCATTGCTTGCTTTGTGTTTTTCTACAGTCACTGTAGAAAATTATATTTGCTTTCATAGAAAAGTTGATGACTTTAGGAATGCATATGATGTTCCTGTTCTTGTCTTCTGTCTCCAAGGGTCCATATCTGTAATTGAAGCTTTGGACTATGAAATGTGTAAGGACTTCTTCCTGGTCATTGAAGCTAAAGATGGGGGAAGCCCAGCTCTGAGTGCTGTAACAACAGTGAATATAAATGTGACAGACGTTAATGATAACCCACCAAGATTTAGCCAAGATGTCTATAGTGCAGTCATCAGTGAAGACGCATCAGTTGGTGACTCGTTAGTAATGGTGAGTTCTGAGTTTTTCTGCCCGTATCACCAGGGTAAATGGCTAATTTTAAGTGAATACAGGACACACTTTCTTCATGATAACAAATATTGTTAACTTTGAAAATGCTGTAAGTCTAGGAAAGGATTATGCAAATAGCACTGTCAGCAGAAATGTGGACAAAATCTAGGGCTTCAGTCTAATAGAGAGCTAGAAAGATAGCTAACTATTTGGCTGGCTAACAATAGATAAAGGTAGGTAGGTAGGGGGAGAGAGAGAGAGAATGCATAGATGACAGATAGATTGATTGATTTTTTATTTTTATTTTTTTAATTTGATTTATATGCCGCCCTTCTCCGGAGACTCAGGGCGGCTTACAATGCGTTAAGCAATAGCCTTCATACTTTTGTATATTTATACAAAGTCAGCTTATTGCCCCCACAACTGGGTCCTCAATTTACCTACCTTAGAAAGGACGGAAGGCTGAGTCAATCTTGAGCTTTGGAGAGATTCGAGCCAGCAAGTAATTGCAGGCAGCTGTGTTAATAACAGGGTGCTTAGACCACTGTACTATCAAAGCTCTTGATTGATTGATTGATTGATTGATTGATTGATTGATAAATGAGAGAGACAGAGACAGAGACAGAGACAGATATAGGTAGGTTAAGTAGGTAGGTAGAGAGGTGAGTAGATGGATAGGTTTGGAGAGGGAGACATTTCTTGACTGGCAAACTTAAAATTAAATGTGTATTCAGGAAATTTTTACAGGAACAATATATTTTTTGAAAGTTTTGTTAAAATGCAGATCACATCAACCCAATTCATTACTGTGCTAAACCATAATGTAGTTTGTTTAGTTTGCTGTCGCATGCTGTGGTACATAATGAAGCCAATTATAAATCATAAAGCGTGACATGGATGTATGAAGCAAGTCTTCAAATTGCAAGACGGTGATTGAATTAATTTCCCAAATTTGAGAATAACTCTCCCAATCAGGTTTTTTTTCCCATTTGGGAGTTTCTGGTCTAGGTTATGGAACTTTGTTTGGGTGAGACACTGATTGGTTGAAGTAGTTATCTTGGTACATTCCAAGGGGAAAGTACATAGTTATATCCTACCTGTTTTAGATAGTTACCTCTGTGGAATCTCGATAGACCATAGGTGCCTTTCTGATATGTTTTAAGTACATCATATAATAGCATTTAACCATATATACATTTGTGATGATTTCATGTACAGTGGAATTTATCAATTCATTGTCATCATTCTCCCTTCTATTTATAATTCCTCGTTTTTCCAAAGTTGATAGCCGAAGACGTGGACAGTCCTCCCAATGGACTGATTTCTTTCTCCATTATCAGCGGAGATCAAAACAACGAATTTTCAATTGATCCTGGCTTGGGACTGATTAAAGTTAAAAAGAGATTGGACCGAGAACGGGTAAGGTCAACCAATTTCATTGTTTCTCCATTGCTTTCTTCATGCAGCTAGTCTTAATAATTGATAAAGGCTTACAGATTTATGTTATAGAAGTAAAAAATTTATTTCGCAGGATTATTCTTCGGCATTTTCCCAAACGGACCTTGCTATAGCGTGGGAATAACGCCAGGAAGGAGAAGATTCTTTGGCATTTTCCCATTGCTTTTCTGTTTAAACGCCCTCCTTTCCCAGTATCCTAATCCCATTTTGTATTTGGGACAAATACAGAAAAGTATTTGCTACTTTTCTGATATCCTGATTGTAGAAGCTTGGAGTTCCTATTTTTCAGAAAAAAATACAAATTAAATAAGAAAAAGAGATATATACAGAACAGACAAAAATAAACAGGCAGCTTTTCTGAGGTGCTTTCTCAAGAATTAGTACAGTTCATATGACATAGGGGTTGAAGGTGTGTTGAACCAGAACTGAGATGCCCCAGGTTCAAATCAACCACAAAAGTTCACTGGGTGATTGTAGGCCAATATATCTTATTTCAATCTACCTCACATAATTTTTGTGAGGATAAAAAATATAGGAATATGTAAATAACCTTGAGCTTCTGAAGAATAGGTGGAACATAGATCTAAGGTAGGGTAGAGTAGAACAGAACAGAACAGAACAGAACAGAACATTATTTGTTGGAAAGTGTAATATAATTACACTTGGTAGCGCAGCAGACTAAAGCACTGTTAAGTAACACCAGCTGCCTGCAATTACTGTGAGTTCAAATCTCACCAGGCTCAAGGTTGACTCAGCCTTCCATCCTTTCGAGGTAGGTAAAATGAGGACCCGGTTTGTGAGGGCAATAAGCTGACTTTATATAAAAAAGAACACCACTTAGGGGGAGGCCAAAAGCCCTACTAAGCAGGTATATACAAAAATATGAAGGCTATTGCTTAAAAGCATTGTAAGCCGCCCTGAGTCTCCGGAAAAGGGCGGCATATAAATTGAACCAATAAATAAATAATAATATCACAAGTGTGGTATAAACATACCACAAGATATAAACACATTATTTAAAATATTCTGGGAGTGCAAGTTCTATCGATATAACCCACTTTCACTATTATTTGAGTTTCTGCAACCCTAGTTATTGTATGTTTCACGCTTACTTTGTGAATGGCTTAGCTTGTATCCTGAGGATCTCAAGGAAATTTGCTGAGAATAAATACAGCGAATGGATGAGGCAGGCCGGCAAAGATAATCAGGACCTTGGAGAGCTCAGTGCATGGAACGCAGGCTTGGTTAACTGTCCACGCAACCTGAACTGACTTTCCTTCCAGCGCTCAGCTAAGCTCCTACTAAGACTTTAATAAAGCTAAAAAGCCAGTGATTCCTTCGCTCCAATCCAAAGTGCTGCTCATTTTAGATTGAAAGAGCTCATTACCCTTCCAGAAATTTGAGGCCTGGATAGCTGGGAAATTGAAGTAAATAGAAGGGCCTGAAACAAAGATTTCAGAAGACGAATCCAAACCGTAAAATCATCGTAATAGATAACATAGTAGTAGCCCATAGTACCCTGTTTCCCCAAAAATAAGGCCTATCTTGAAAATAAGCCCAGGCATGTTTTTTATGCATGGGCCTAAGATAAGCCCTACCCCACCCCCCCCCCCCCCCCAAAATAAACCCTACTTAAGACCCTGCGCAGCTGGCCGCCTGGCCATTCCATTTGGTTGCTCGCAGTGCCATGATCACAAGGTGAGGTGGGAGAGTGGTGGGGCTGCCTCACATGTCCCACACCGGTTTACCTCAGGGCCTCCGTAACCAGGCCATCCACGCGCCGACACCTGCCTCACGGCAGCAGCAGCAATGTGCAACAGGAGCCCATATGGCTGCCGGGCCATTTCTGCTTGCTCACAGAGGAGGCTGAGTGGTGTGTCGCGGCCATGAGATGAGGCAGTGTCGGGGCATGGATGAGGTAAGCCAATGTGGGATGTGTAGGGCAGCTCAACGCCCGTACTTTGTGCCGGCGGCACTGGTGCACTGCATGACCTCCTGTCCCACCGCAAGCAACCAGAAGAAGTGGGCCTCCCGTACATGGAAAAATATAAGACATGCCCTGAAAATAAGCCGGAGTGCTTATTTTGAGGCCCAAAAGAAAATAAGACCTGGACAACAAAAAAGGTTAGCCATCAGTGCACTGTAGTGGGCATTTGGGATGCTTCCATCTCTAATCTTGACAGTCCTAATGCAATAGACATTGGCATACAGTTAACACAGATGCAATACTTTTGTGCCAGAATGAAATTTATTGCTGCATAAAGCCATTCATCTGCATTGTTGATCAGTCCAAATGAGCCTCTTTGAAGAACAAATCTTCCAACCGCACAGTGCTAACATGATGTGGAAAAAACCAAACTAAAATCATCAGAAAATGATATCGCTTTTTTCAGAAAACTAAATCTTACACGGGAAAATACAGATAGTCCTCAACATAAAGACCACAATTGAGCCCCACATTTCTGTTGGTAAACAAAACAATTATTAAGTGAGTTTTGCCCCATTTTACGACTTTTGTTGCCCCAGTTCTTCAGTGCAGTTGTTAAATAAGTCACCTGGTTTTTAAGAGAATCTGGCACATCCCCCATTGACTTTGCTTGTCAGAAGGTCGCAAAACGTGATCACATGACCCTGGGACACAGCAATGGTCATAAGTGTGAGTCAGTTGCCAAATATCTGAATTTTGATCGCATGACCATGGGGATGCTGCAACGGTCGTAAGCGTGAAAAGTGATCATAAGTCACTTTTTTCAGTGCCGTTGTAACTTTGAGCGGTCACTAAATGAATTGTGGTAAGTTCAGGACTGCTTGTATTTATGGGACACTGCAACCGTCATAAATACATGTCAGTTGCCAAGCATCCAGATTTTGATCATGTGACCATGGAGACGCTGCTAGGTTTGTAAGTGTGAAAAACGGGCATTAGTCACTTTTTTCAGTGCTGTTGTAACTTCGGTCACTAAACGAATGGTTGTAAGTAGAGGACTACCCGTAAAGCTCCATTCTCATAGAAGATTATGCTTGCACATCCAACTAATTTTCTTTAAAGCGAGAGGTGCAATTCAAGGTGCTGGTTGTCACCTTTAAATCCCTTCATGGCTTGGGACCAGATTTTCTGAGGGATCATCTCTTGCCGGTCACATCCACCTGACCCATTAGAGCGGGGAGGCAAGGAATGTTGCGGGTCCCATCCCTGAAGGAGATACATCTGGTGGGACCCAGAAGGGCCTTCTCCGTGGTGGCTTCCTCTCTCTGGAACATCATTCCCCCAGAGATTAGAATGGCCCCCACTCTGACACTCTTCCGGAAAGCGCTGAAGACCTGGTTCTGCCAGCGGGCCTGGGGAACGCAGAGTGGGATGGAGCCCATGAAATGGCTCGTGTGTTATGTTGTCGCCGGGGTGGGGGGGTTATTTTATTATTTTATTTTATTAATTTATTGTTGATTTTCTGTTTTATTAGTTTTATTGTTTTTTATATTGATATATATATATGTGTGTGTGTGTGTATAGGTAAAGGTAAAGGTTCCCCTCACACATATGTGCTAGTCCTTCCTGACTCTAGGGGGCGATGCTCATCTTCGTTTCAAAGCCGAAGAGCCAGCACTGTCCGAAGACGTCACCATGATCATGTGGCCGGCATGACTAAAGGCCAAAGGCCCATGGAACGCTGTTACCTTCCCACCAAAGATGGTCCCTGTTTTTCTACTTGCATTTTTTACGTGCTTTCGAACTGCTAGGTTGGCAGAAGCTGGGACAAGTAACGGGAGGTCACCCCATTACGCAGCACTAGGGATTCGAACCGCTGAACTGCCGACCTTTCGATCGACAAGCTCAGCGTCTTAACCATTGAACCACTGCGCCATATATATATATGTGTGTGTGTGTGTGTGTGTGTGTGTGTGTATACACATATACATACATACATACATACATACATACATACATACATACATACATACATATATTCTTGTAAGCCACCTTGAGTCGCCATGTGTGAATAGGCGGCAATATAAATTTCCAAATAAATAAAAATAGAAGTCGTTCTTCTAGATGTTGATGATGATGATGAAGGAGAAGGTGATGATGGAGATTTATCAATTTACTCTGCAGTCCTCGCATTTCCTGGTATGTCCATGGCCACTACTAATCCAGGCCAGCCTTGTTTAACATTTCGGAGATCCGCCAAGATCAGCTGGAGGCTACGTTTTCTTGAAAGAAGAAAAAATATCTCCACTTGGGGGTGGGGGGACAAATGCTCTATTAGGCTGCTTAATGCAAAAGAAAAACATACTTCCCATATTAGCATCACAGCCAGCTGGAGCTATCAATATTTGAATCACCATTATAAATAGTTTGCCAGCAGAATGTAGGCAAAGCAGAATAGGTGGGTGGATCTGCTGTCATCTTTGGAATGTGGGAAAAATTCTTGAGGAAGAATTAGGCGGTTGCATTGGAATTTTAGGTGGGATATCAGCAAAAAACCCCCCCCCAGCACATAAGTCAGTTTTTTGGGCAAGATTTTTCAGACATAGTTTGCCATTGCCTCTTTCCTGAGGCTAAGAGAGAGTGACTGGCCCAGAGTCACACAGTTGGCTGTGCCTAAGGTGGGACTAGAAATGGTCTTCTGATTTCTAGCCTGATGCCCTAACCGAGGGGTCAGCAATCTTAAACACTCAAAGAGTCATTTGGACCCGTTTCCCACAGAAAAGAAAACACCGGGAGCCACAAAACCCTTCCCATGCTTGACTATTTCCTGAGCAGACACAAAACGAACATATGTAATTGAATTAAATGTTCTGTTTTCTTCTGAAACTTTTCTTTTCCTGGATTTATCCATGGTTGGCCTACAGGGGTCAAAAAGCTCAATAAATTGTGTGCCGGGGGGGTGTCGCACATTGAGCAACAGGGAGCTGCAGCAGAGGGATGAAAGAGCCACATGCGGCTCCAGAGCTGCGGGTTGCTGACCCCTGCCCTAACCACTACATCAAACTGGCATTCTATCCATCTAATTAGTATCATTAAATATAAGATTTTTTAAAAAAAGTATACTTAACATCTTACTTCTGCAATCCTTTATTTTCTCTCAAACATTCTATTGGTATGAGATCGTTTTTAAGCTTGTAGTTCGCAGGGCTGGCTTAAGCCTCCAGCTATCACTGTAGCCGTGGTGTGGATTGTAGAAATAAATTTTGGAATCCATTCTTGTAACACAATTGATCGGGCTGCCTGAGTCTATATTTGATATCTGCGGGGGTTTAAAAGCATTTTTGTGGACAGATAACTTCTCAAAACTATAAGAGCTGATATTAAATTTCTTATGTAAGATGCTTAGATGTTGTTTTTTTAAAGTACTCCATTATGTGCAATTTGCATCATCTCTAGGAGCAATTTTAACAGACCGGAGCCATTATGTTTATGGATGCTTTTGCTAAAAAAGTATTTGAGTCACATTGCAGCTGAAAATGCAGAAATGCCAATACTCAAAAGCCAGACAGTGCAACCCAGACACTTGTATTAGAGAACCTGGTACTCTTTGCTGAACATTAGAGATGTTTGCTTATAATGATTAGAGGACCCAAAACACCTTGAGGGCATCGAATTCTTTTTCACGGTATGAATTTTCCTGATAGAATTCTAGAGGAAGAAAGCAGATTATTCTCCTTCAGTCTATTGAGGGTGTTTTCTGAGTTCCTTTGGTCAATCAGTCAGTCTCCACATGTTCTGAAATATTTCAGTTTTTCCTACTGCCTAACTGATCCTCTAGTTCAAGGGTGTCAAACTCAATTTCATTGAGGGATGCATCAGGGTTGTGTTTGACCTCGGAGGGGGGGGCGTGGCCAGGGGGCGTGGCCAGCTTGACATCACTTGTGTCAGGGGCGCCTGTGGCGGCCCGGTGTCTCTGCCAGCGAAAATGGGTTCCTGAGCTCCGTTTTCACTGGCAGAGACACCTTCGCTGTGTCCGGGGCAGCCCTGCGGGCCAGATCTAAGCACCCTGTGGGTCAGATCTGGCTCCCGGGCCTTGAGTTTGACACCCCTAATCTAGTTGATAAAACCATGTTCTTTCAAACATCATAACTGCATGGCTGGGAAGATGAGAAGCAAATACAGGAGGTCCTTGTCTTACGACCAGTCGCTTACCAACTGTCCAAATTTATGATGGACCTACCTTGAGACTAGTTATAACCTGGATTACAGTTACTATGCTCACAATTCCTCCTTTATCATCGTCACATGACCTAACTTTGGCCACATTTATGACCATTTGCCGTGTCCTGTAGTCATGTGACCACGTTTTACTACAGTTTTGCTGAAAACTAGAATTCCCTTAACGACCAACCAAAAAAAAAGGTAGGTCACATAGGATCATCTTACGACCATCACAAGTTATGACTGATGGGCAGGCTCCATTCCAGTCATAAATCAAGGGCTACAAGTAAGTCCTTGACTTACGACCACAATCGAGCCCCAAATTTCCATTGCTAAACAAGACCGTTGTTAAGTGAATTTTACAACCTTTCTTGTCACCGTTGTTAAGTGAACCACTGCAGTTGTTAATCTAGTCACCCGGTTGTTAAGTCCATCCGGCTTCCCCATTGACTTTGCTTGTCAGAAGGTCGCAAAGGGGGATCACATGACCCCATATCCCTGCATCCGTCATAAATACGAGTCAGTTGCCAAGCGTCTGAATTTTGATCATATGACCATGCAACTCACATGCAAATGTGAGTGTGAAAAACGGTCATAAGTCACTTTTTCCAATGCTTTTTCCACCATAAATAAGTACACTTTTTCCACCATAAATGCATGCCAGTGGCCAGGCATCTGAATTTCAATTACATGACCACAGGATGCTTCAATGGTCATAAGTGTGAAAAACTGTCATAAGTCACTGTTTTCACGTAACTTCAAACAGCACTAAAACAAATGGTTGTAAATTGAAGACTACCTTACCTGTATATCAGCGGTGAAATCCAGCAGGTTCTGTCAGGTTCTGGAGAACTGGTAGTGGAAATTTTGAGCAGTTCGGAGAACCGGCAAATACCACTTCTGGCTGGCCCCAGAGTGGGGTGGGAATGGAGATTTTGCAATATCCTTCCCCCAGGAGTGGGGAGAGAATGGGGATTTTGCAGGATCCTTCCCCTGGAGTCAGGTGGGAATGGAGATTTTGCCGTATCCTTCCCCTGCCATGCCCACCAAGCCACGCCCATAGAACCGGTAGTAAAAAAAAATTGGATTTCACCACTGTTGTATATGTAAGCAAATAATGTTGAAATTTCTTTTGGGGAAACAGCTGTCTTGAACAGAACGGTGGAAGATTTGAACCTTCCCACCTAACAATCTGCCGTGTGAGAATGAGAACAGCATGGAGCAGCGGATGTACATGCAATTATGCAGATGCACAAGTATTTACGGGCTGTGGTATCACACGAATCACCAGTCCTTTTCCATTTGCATGGCTCCCAAAAGGCTCCACAGATATCGGTAAACTACTTCAAAAATGGGTCAACTCTATCTTAGAATGTCTAGAATGCTTCCTCTGGTTAAAAAAAAGAGAGAGAAAGAGACAAGGAATTGAAGGAAAAATACAGCAAACATCAACTATTAAACAAGTGTTTTAACCAGTCTTAACGATGGAGGTTGGAGACTAGGTAAATTAAGATGTCAGAAGCTCTTGATAGGAAAATTGTTTCCCACAGTCCATTCTAGTTCTGGATTTTTTCCGAGTTCCTCTTTATTTGTGAGCTGTTACAAGATTGATTCTTTTCCATTTAGCTGTGATTTGTCGTTATTTGAAAAATACACCCTGCATCAAATGTGGCACTAATTGGAATTAAACATGAGGACAAGAAAAGAGCCTCTTAGACAACTATTGGGAAAATGTACAAACTAATTCCGGGCAAGAATTCTTACATCCCTGTTTTGAAACTTTCCCCCGGCTGCCAAAAGAGCAGTGAAGAAAACAGTGCTTTACAAGCTGACTGAAGCATTATTATTATTATTGGTTAATCTTTAGTGAGATTCACAACCTTTGAGGCTGGTTAATAGCTCAGCAGCTCGAGTCCTAACCAAGGACCTAGGAACTGTTAAGGTATCGTCGGAGGATGTAAGCTGTTCCGAGTAAGGTGGTTTTTTGTAGAGTCAAAATGTTCAAGTCTGGCAAATTTAGAATTTCTATTATTAATATTTTTTTTTATTATTATTATTATTATTATTATTATTATTATTATTATTATTATTAGTGTTGCCACACCAGTAAAAAAAAAAACACTGCGAGTCTTCGCTTAGAATTGAAAATGATAAATCCGTTCTGCAACTTGAGCATTTCTACAACTTTTGTATATTTATTTATTTGAATCCCATTCTTATTACTTTCGCAAAGAACCCAAGGTGGTGGACATATCCTTCCTCCTCCTATTTTGCTCACAACAACAACAATCCTGTGAGGTGGGTTGGGCTAAGAGAGTATTACTGGCTCAAAGTTATCCAGCCAGTTTTCATGGCTAAGGCAAGACTTGAACTCACGGTCTCCTGCTTTCTAGTCTGTTCCCTTAACCACTAGACCTGTGGTGTCAAACTCAAGGCCCAGGAGCTGGATCTGGCCCGTGGGGTGCTTAGATCTGGCCTGTGGGGCCACCCTGGAAACAATGAAGGACTGGCCAGCAGTGCCTCTGCCAGAGAAAATGGAGCTCGGGAGCCTGTTTTCTCTTGCAGTGTGCTCCGGCCACACAGGTACCCCCGACATGAGTGATGCCAAGCATGCCCACCCTACCCTGGCCATGCCCACTCTGGCACTCCAAGGTCAAACACAACTCTGATGTGGCCCTCAATGAAATCAAGTTTGACACACCTGCACTAGACCATATTGGCTGTCTATTAAGAACTGAGGTGGTGCAGTAGTTAGTGCAGTACTGCAGGCTACTTCAGCTGAGTGCTAGCTGCAGTTCAACAGTTCAAATCTCACCAGGCACAAGGTTGACTCAGCCTTCCATCCTTCCGAGGTGGGTAAAATGAGGATCCAGATTGTTGAGGGCAATAGGCTGACTCTATAAACCATTTAGAGAGGGCTGTAAAGCACTGTGAAGCTGTATATAAGTCTAAGTGCTATTGCTATTGCTCTACTGATTGTAAAAAAAGAAAGAGAGAGAAGGATAGAATTTGGACCCTTTTCTAAACTAATGTTTTTCTTTAATGTTTGTGCAGGTTTCAGGATATTCATTAGTCGTGCAGGCTCAGGACAGTGGTAATCCTCCTTTGACAGCCACCGTGACGGTCAATGTTGACATTTCTGATGTGAACGATAACAGTCCTGTGTTTACACCTGCCAATTATACAGCTGTGATTCAGGTAAGCTGATCCAAACCGTTTCCCAAAGGGCCCTCTCCTTCTGTCCTTTAAGATATAAAGATGTTGGCATGCAATTTTGATCCCGGTTGAAGATTTATCAGCTTGCAGTGCATGGTATCATACCTTTCTTTGCAAGGAAAGGAAGCCGCAGTTTCCATAAGCTGGTTCATAAATGGGAACGAGATTCAAAAGTTCTTGTTTGCGTAGTAGGTCCCTGCAAGGATTCCAAGTCTCAGAGAATTTGGATGGAGCTGTTTTATTGAATTGCAGAGTTGAGTTTTCTAACACATTGGCCATAGCTACCGGTTCGCAAATGTGAGCTCACATGCCACCTCCGTGCATGCACAAAGCGTCAAAAACAGGACATGATGATGTCCGGGCGGGTGGGCGGAGCCTCCCACCGCCTGAACTGGGGCGAACCGGTAGCAACCCATCACTGCCCCAACATGAGTGACATCGAACTGGACACATCCACCCCGGCCCCCCCAAGATAAAACACAACCCTGATGTGGTCTTAAATGAAATTGAGTTTGACACCCCTGCTCTTAAGTGGTCCTCTCTAACCAGTCTGTAGATTATTCTAACAGTACAAAAATGCACAAAAGCAAATGCACATTTTATAACAGATGGCAGATAGAGGGGAAAAAAATCTATGTGTACTATCAAAATGCCGTATTCTCACACGTTGCTCATCAGCGTGCCAAGATGCGTAATTAAAATTCTGTCTCTCGTTTTCTCTGCCTCTCTCTTTTTAATGCTACGTTCGCCGACGATGCACAAAGGAAAACAAACCAGTAGGTACCAGTATTCTGCAATTGGTGGTAACGGATAAAGACTCCCTGCACAATGGCCCTCCTTTCACCTTCGCCATCCTGGCTGGAAATGAAGAGAAAGAATTCATGCTTGACCAGCAAGGCATCTTGCGATCCGCTGTCATCTTCAAACGCATGGTAGCCACTGAATATGTGCTGTGTATTCAGGTACCAGTTTTCATTTGTTCGTCGCCATAGAAAATGGTTGAACATCATTCTTAAGCCTTCAGAGCATTTTCCTGTCCATGTAACTGTGATCACCTACATCAGGGGTGTCAATATCAAGGCCCGCAGTCCGGATCCGGCCCGTAGGGTGCTTAGATCTGGCCCATGGAGCCGCCCTGGAAATAGCAACAGACTGGCCCGCAGTGCCTCTGCCAGCGAAAACAGAGTTAGGGAGGGCAGTATGTGACCCTCCCAGACTCCATTTTCGGCCGCGACGGCCTCCTGCAGCCCTTTGCCAGAGCTCCGTTTTCACTGGCAGGGTGCTACAGGAGGTGGTCGCGGCCGAAAATGGAGCCAGATGGGCCGCACACGGCTCCCTTGAGCTTCATTTTCGCTGACAGAGGGCTGCAGGAAATGGCAGCCGAAAACGGAGCCTTGATGAGTGACCTCGAGCTGGCCATGCCCACCCTGGCCACGCCCACTCTCCCCCCCCGAGGTCAAACACAACCCTGATGCGACCCTCAATGAAATTGAGTTTGACACCCCTGACTTACATGCAATATTTTTAGCAATCTTCTTTGAAATACACTTTTCAGCATGTTTTTAAGTTTTATTGAACCAGGAGTAAAATACTTTCCACAAAATGAAATTTTGCATCTGATCGTTTTAAGGTTGTCATTAATTTTCTTCCAAATTTTATATATATATGTATGTATGTATGTATGTATGTATGTATGTATGTATGTATATGTAAAGTGTTTTTCTATCGAGACACCTGGTCTACCCCAACATGTGGGAGGGAGCATACTGCATCCCTTTCGCCTTTCAGCTCCAATCCAGGAGCCCACAAGCAGTCGCATTCACGACAAACCATTTTATACCAAATTTATATTTTTGCTGATAAAGAAATAAAGGGAGACTAGTATAGGTCTATTTCAAGCTATTTAGCTACTTAAGTTTGAAGAGCACCACAACACAAGTTGGAAGAGCGATTGGTACTCTTGAAGTAATACAGAGCGAATGCAAATTAAATTAGAAAATGAAAAAGGGGGAAAATGTCAGAGAGCTAAAGCACAATAAAACTTTTCCCGTAAAAATGAAGAAAATGAACTTGTGATTTATGATTTTGATGATTAGACAGGATAGATCTGACCTGGGGGGGGGAGCGGCTGCCCTCCACAACAATCCCACTTTCTCATATGCCCCTTTGGAAAATTAATTGCCCCCCTCTGCATTAGATTATAAAAAGAAGACAGTCTTGATGTAACTTTATAGAAAGATTAAATTTTATTGTCCTTATAACTGCTTTGAAGAATATCAGAAGCTATTTTTTAATATGTTTAGATCTTTATATTTTTCTTCTTTTTTTTATTTTCTTGTCATTGTTTTTCTTATAACCCACACAAAATATCATTTTGGCGTATAAGCAAAAACTCAACATTCTGATCGTAATCCAAATTTAATTTTTGCAAGCATTCCATGATATGCATACGGAAAAAGAAGTATTATAGATGCCAATCAAATCCATAAACAATTCTATCCTGTTTTGGAGCTTGGAAACTCTGCAAGCTCCAAAATATTCAAACACATTTCAACTTGCAAACTCTGCCTGCAGATTTTTTTTTTTTTTTTTCCATTTGGGAAATCGATCACAAAGAGAAGATTTTCTCTTTGCAAGAGAAAGACGGTGAAGATTTCCCCAGCTGGTTCTGTACCTCCAAATTATGTGCAGGCCACCTGTTACAACTGGGTGTTCCATTTTTACCAAGAAATAACTGGAAATGTGATGTTCTTTTCCAATTCAACACAAGGAAGCTGGCATCCTTGGCAGCTGAATTCTTACACTGTTGAAAGTCTGAAAGGCTTTTTTAAAAAACTATTTTCTCAATTATTTTTATTACAGTCTTTAAGGCACAGCCTGGAAATGATCAATGACATCTTTGAGTGATGATGTTCAGGTTTCTAAACCCAATCTCAATTCGAAGCTGGATGTGGGAAGAAAGAATAACTTTAAAGCAGTGGTGAAATGCTACCAGTTCGCACCGGTTTGAACGAACCGGTAGTGATAAAAACTACCAGTTCAGGCAAACCGGTAGTAAAAAAAAGCTACGGGTTCCTCCAAACCAGTATTTCCAACTATCAGCTGTGCTGCGCGATTTAAAATCATTAGACAAAGACAAAATTTAGGAAAAATTAAAAGCAATAAATAGGCACCGTCATGTAGACAGAGTAGGTAATAAGTCACTGTTTATATATGTGTGTATATATAATTACATATATTCAGTTTGTTTATGGTGATTTGTATTGTATATCTAATTTTATGATTGAAAATAATTTGTATATTTTTATCTTTTTAAACTTAATAAAGTTTGTTTTTAAAACAAAAATAAAATAAAATAAAATAAAATAAAATCACTAGAAAGCAAGAAATCCTGCTAGTGAATCTAAATTGTGCAGCACAGCTGTTCCCCCACCTCGTTGTTCTACTTACCTTCCCAAGCCTCCTTTTTCTGCGCAAAGCACGCGTTTGATGCATACTGCGCATCATGCGCACACAGCGTGTGTTGGTGTGCACTGCACATGCAGTGCAGCGTGTGTTTGGCACACAGTGTGTATGCACACATGTATTTGGCATGCAGCGTGCGTGCATGGGCAACGAACTGGTGGCAAACCAGGGAAGATTTCACCACTGCTTTAGAGCACAGTGTCCCAAAAGGAGGCAACTGGACTTTCTTGTTTTTTCTTTTGAAGACGTTTCGCTTGTCATCCAAGAAGCTTCTTCAGCTCTGACAGGATAGTGGGGAATGGAAGGATTTCTATTCCTTGCAGACTGCTGGTCACTCACTTGGATGTTTATCTGTGTCCTCAGGGTCACCTGAGTGGTGCTCCTGGTTCCTGTAGTCTGCAATTTTTTCCTCTGGAAATTCATTCCTACTCCCTACTTCGTTTTCTCTGGCAGAGGGTTGCAGGAGGCCATTTTAGCCGAAAATGGAGCTCGGGTGGGCCATGGGCAGCCCTCACGAGCTTGTTTTCTCTGGCAGAGGGTTGCAGGAGGCCATTGCAAGCCGAAAATGGAGCTCGGGTGGGCCATGGGCAGCCCTCACGAGCTTCATTTTCTCTGGCAGAGGGTTGCAGGAGGCCATCACAGTCAAAAATGGAGCTTGGGAGGGCCACAGCCAGCCCTCACGAGCTCCTTTTTCGCTGGCAGAAGGTTGCAGGAGGTCATCGCAGAGGCACCGCAGGCCGGTCCTTCGCTGTTCCGAGGGCGGCCCCACTGGCCAGATCTAAGCACCCCATGGGCCAGATCCGGCCCACAGACCTTGATTTGACACCCTTGGACTAGGCTGTGCATTGAACAGAAGTCCTTGTCCTTGGTTACATTGGCTTGGAATGTAATTACAATCTCAAGTTTTCTTTCCAATGCCCATTGACTACTGTAGTGTTGCAGGAAAAAAAACGGGACCAGGCCAAGCTCTTCAATGCAGTAAAGAGTTTATTGTGCACGGTTCAAACAGCCCAAAGGCAAACAAAAGTTCGAACGCCGATGGCTTCTTCTGGCCATGTATTTATACAATTTAAAGGCAGAGTCATTACAGAGAGTGCTACAATTCATACGTAGAAGCTGCCCTTTCATCTACCTCTAGGAAAGGAAATAACAATCTTCTTCTCACATACTCAGGTTCTCTGCTCAGGAGCTCAAGACATAATAAAAGGAGATAAGAGGCTTGGAGACGCCTCAAGGGCCGTAAAGGAAGCGGCTCTTTTTATCTAGGGATATGCGTGACATTTGGGATGCAATAAACAGTAAACAACAGGATATATCTGTTTAGGGTCAGTTTGCCCTTCTACAATTCTGTACCTACGTCAAATACCTTTTGGCAGCTTAGCACCTTGGCACGGAAGAGGCACTTCTGTCTTGACCAAAGATTTAGAATTATACTATTTGAATTTTGTCCCAATATCGGATCTTAGCCTAGCTCAGTAGGACAATGGTAACATGCAGTTTGCAGATGCTAGGCCTGAGGGACTTATTTACTTATTTATTTATTTGCTCTGCTATAGATCTAGCATTGGAGTTTTTGCTTTAGAGACTCTGAAATTCCTCTGAAGAAAGAGCTGCCCAGACAAGTGTTGTGGTGGCCTAGAGGTGGAGCTCTCGCCTCTTGAGGACCCAGTTTGTGGGGGCAATAAGCTGACTTTGTATAAATATACAAAAGTATGAAGGCTATTGCTTAATGCATTGTAAGCCGCCCTGAGTCTCCGGAGAAGGGCGGAAAAGAAATCAAAAATTAAAAAAAAAAATATTAAAACAATCAGGAGGCTGTGAGTTCGATCCTAGGTAGAGGCAGATATTTCTCTCTCTGGGCACACTGGGGATATACTGTATCTGCTGAAAAAAAAAACCCTCTGCATTGGCGATAGGAAGAGCATCTGGCCAGTAAACACTCAGCTCCATTCAGTTGCCCAGACTCCACCCCGCAAGGGATTATGGGGTCGTTAAAAGAGGATGAAAGAACCGTCCGGATATTTTTAGACTCCCATACTGGGCAGCATTTAAAAGGAGTTGTTGTTGTTGTTTTTGTGTATGTGTGCGTTGCATCATTGGGTTTTCAGTTTCTCCTTTCTTGAATTAGGCCAAGGATTCAGGGAAGCCTCAGCAGATTTCCCATACCTTCATTCAGATCCGGGTGATCGAAGAAAGCATCCACAAACCCACAGCCATTCCCCTGGAGATTTTTATCGTGACTATGGAAGACGACTTCCCGGGAGGTGTCATCGGAAAGATCCATGCGACAGACCAAGATGTCTATGATGTCCTCACCTACGGCCTGAAGTCGGAGCAGAAAAGTTTGTTCAAGGTCAACAACCACGACGGAAAGATCATCGCCCTCGGAGGGTTGGACAGCGGGAAGTATATCCTGAATGTGTCAGTCAGCGATGGGCGGTTCCAGGTCCCCATGGACGTGACGGTCAACGTCGAGCAGTTGGCCCAGGAGATGTTGCAGAACACGGTCACCATTCGCTTTGAGAACATCTCCCCGGAGGATTTTGTGGGTCTTCACATGCATGGATTCAGGCGCACCCTGCGCAACGCGGTCCTCACCCAAAAGCAGGATAGCCTGCACATCATCAGTATTCAGCCCGTGGTGGGTAGCAATCAGCTCGACATGCTGTTCGCGGTTCAGATGCACGCCGGCGGCTTCTACAAGCCGGCCTACTTGATTCAGAAGCTGACCAGTGCAAGGCGACACTTGGAAAATGTGATTCGCATCGCTGCCATCCTTGAGAAGAATTGCTCGGGGCTGGATTGTCAGGAGCAGCATTGCGAGCAAAACCTGTCTATCGATTCCCATTCCCTGATGACTTACAGCACCGCCCGGATTAGTTTCGTGTGTCCCCGGTTCTACCGAAACGTCCGCTGTTCTTGCAATGGTGAGTGCCATTTTCCCATCTCTCCACCCAATTGTTCTCCTCCTCCTCCTCCCCCCCATTCAAAGCTCTTTTTATTTCTGAGACAATGCCGCTACAACACAGGAAGCTCATGTCACATTTCTAAAAGATCTGGTACTTTTGTAAAGCAGAAGGCTGAGACTTTCATTCTCACGCTCAAACGGGGAAAGTCTGATCTTTATTTTTATTTATTTATTTATTTTCATCAAGCATGTATTAGATATTAAAGATATAAGTATAAACATGATTATGAATACAGGATAAGGATACAAATAAATGTGGACAGTAGGACAGGGATGGTAGGCACGCTGGTGCACTTATGCACGCCCCTTACAGACCTCTTAGGAATGGGGTGAGGTCGAAAATAGACTGTCTAAGGGTAAAGTTTTGGGGGTTTGGGGAAGAAACCACAGAGTCAGGTAGTCCATTCCAGGCATTGACCACTCTGTTGCTGAAGTCGTATTTTCTGCAATCGAGTTTGGTGCGGTTCACTTTAAGTTTGTATCTATTGTGTGCTCGTGTATTGTTGTGGTTGAAGCTGAAGTATTAATTGACAGGTAAGACATTGTGGCAGATAATTTTATATGCTACGCTTAGGTCGGACCGAAGACGGCGAAGTTCTAAGTTGTCTAAGGCCAAAATTTCAAGTCTCATGGCATAAGGTATTCTATTGCGGATAGAGGAATTGAGGACTCTTCTTGTGAAATATCTCTGGACTCTCAATTGTATTAATGTCCGATATGTAGTGCAGGTTCCAGACAGATGAGCTGTATTCGAGAATTGGTCTAGCAATTGTTTTGTATGCTCTAGTTAGTAGTACAATATTACCAGAGAAGAAGCTATGCCAGATTAGGTTAACAACTCTTAATGCCTTTTTGGCAATGCTGTTACAATGAGCTCTGGCACTTAGATCGTTTGAGATGAGTACTCCAAGGTCCTTGACAGAGTGAGGGTCGTCTATAAGGTCGTATCCACCCAGCTTGTATTTTTGTATCTTGATCGAGGTCAGAGAAAGCTAGTCAACTTTGACCTCTTGGGACAAAGGTCGCCAAACTTTCAGGACATGGCCTAATGAAAGAGGTCAGCCGTGCCACGGAAAAGGGTGTGGGATTAGCAGAGAGGGCAGATTTGGGGCTTGGAAAGCAGTGGTTGTGTAAAAGAACAATCCCAGTATTTTCAGACTGATCGGGGCATCTGACCTGAGCGATATAAAATTTAAAAAGACATTGACTCATTTTCTATTTTGCCAGAGTAATGAAAACCCATAAAGCATGTCATTAAGTAATTGAGACCAAAGAGGGAAGTCTTGACCTTTCCCAGAGCATACTCATTATATGGCCCCCTCGTTTATTTTTGTTGCTTTATATTCACACACACTGTGGGGAAAAAAATACGATCGGAAACTTCTGTACTATTTTGAAGGTGGTCTAAACTGCAGCGTTTGCTTTTTTTAACCACGTTAGGCACTGTAAAAACCGAAGGGCCTTTAGAATTAGCCTAAAGGACCATCGATGTGGTCCCTTAAACGCAGGCTATATTTTTTTGGTATGCCCCTTTCCTAGAATTTGCACCCTTAAGAAGAAAACATTGGCAGAAAAATACCTTTGGGCTGAAATAAATCCACCGAAGAGAACGTCAACCGAATTTTACATGGCGTAAGAAAGGCTGATACAAATGAGGGATGTTCACTCTTAAAATATGCATCTTATTCCAAAGCTTATTCCCACAGACAGATGTCGTGGGCATTCATTGTTTATGCATGCCAGATGTGGAGCAATTCGACTTGGTTTACCTTGATTAGCAGGGATAGTTACCAAAACACAAAACAGGCTGCAAGATGCCGGAGAAAAGGCTTGGTCCTCTCAAGGGTTTTGGCCCTTTGTGTTGGTTTGAATAGTAGTCAAGAAAAGTAGATGGAACAGTCCAGATCCTTTTACCTCAGTCTTTAAAGTTTAAGTTTCAAAACGCTTAAGTTCATCTCATAAACTTTAATAAAATTAAATCAAATTTCCTGGTTGTGGGAAACTGGATATGTCTGAGTCCAGTGATGGCTAACTTTTTTCTCATTGTGTGCCGAAAGTGCGTGCGCGTGCGATAGCGTGCATGCGGGCTGGCACCCATAATGCAATACACCCCCCCTGTGCATGCACGCACGACCTCCCCACTCTCCCCCGCCACGCATGCGCACACGATCCCCCCACGCCCCCCCATGCATGCACACGTGACCTCCCTTCCCCCCGTTTTGGGCCCAGTAGGCCTCCCTGCAGTCTCCTGGGCCCAAAAACGGGCCGTGGGAGGAACGTACCCCGTGCCCCCGTGCATGTGTGCATGACCCCTGTCCCCCCCCACGCATGTGCGTGCGACCCCCATGCATGCGCGTGTATCTCCCACATGCGCCACCCCGCGCATCCCAAAAAATCAGCTGGCCGGTGGGAGGCATGTGCGCATGCGTGGTAGAGCTGAGCTGGGCGAAGGCTCACGTGCCCGCAGAAAGAACTCCGCATGCCAGCTGTGGCAAACGTGCCATAGGTTTGCTATCACGGGTCTAGTCTAACGAAGAGAAGGACATGATAGCAGTCTTCCAATGTTTGAAGGGCTGTCATAGAGAAGAGGGGGAGGGGATGTTAACATATTTCCCAAAACACCTGAAGGTAGGACAAGAAGTAACAGATGGAAGCTTATCAAGGAGAGATCCAACCTAGAATTAAGGAGAAATTTCCTGTCAGGGAGGACAATTAATCAGTGGAATGGCTTGCCTCCAGAAGTTGTGGGTGCTCCCTCACTGGAGGTTTTCAAGTAAAGATTAGACCGCCATTTGTGTAAGGTCTGTTGCTTGAGCAGGGGTCGGAGGAGAAGGCCTCCAAGGTCACTCTGTTATTCTATTAACAGAAACATACATAATCAGCCATATGACCCAAGCAAAAAAAAAAAAATGAGTACAGGTAGATCGTGACGTACAACAGTTCATTTAGTAACTGTCCTATTTACTGTCCTATTTTCTAACGCAGATTTCCACTCTCATAGGTTTATGTCCAGAATTATGTCTAGGTATTTATCTTCATGCAGACATATAGTCATTCCAGACAGAAACATGCTGGCCTTTTTCATGGAAGCAAAGAGTTTTACCGATTATACAATATATGATCTGGCTATGCCTCTTAACTCTTCTATCTAAACAGCAAGAATCCCACATGATCCCAGCAGGACAGATTTCTCCTGAGGTTGCTTCTACTTTGCAGAACTTCCTGGAATGACCAAGTGTCCTTCAAGCGGCTTAATCAGTAGTGGGTTTTCCTGGTTCTGTCCGGTTCTTGCGAACCGGTAGCAAAAGCAGTGGGAGGCTCCGCCCACCCGCCCGGATGTCATAATGGACGATCTGAGCATGCGCAGAAGCGCAAGCGAAGTGAGCGTGCACAAACGCTTCCATTGCGAACCGGTAGTAAAGGTAAGTAGAACCCACCCCTTGGCTTAATCCTATGTACTGGTAGTCCTCGATTTACAATAGTTTTCTTAGTGACCGTTTGAACTTACAACAGCACTGAAAAAAATGACTTATGATCATTTTTCACACTTATGACCGTTGCAGCATCCCCATGGTCACGTGATATATATTCATATGCTTGACAACTGACTCACATTTATGACCCGGAGTCGTGTGATCCCCTTTTACGACCTTCTGACAAGCAAAGTCAATGGGGAAACCAGATTCATTTAATAACCACGTTTCTAATTTAACAACTGCAGTGATTCTATTAACAAATGTGGTGAGAAATGTGTAAAATGGGGCAAATCTCAATTAACAAATTTCTCAATAACATAAATTTTGGGCTCAATTGTGATCGTAATTTAAGGACAACCTGTATTGTAGGGTAAATTCCCTATTCTAAAATGAAATTACTGCACTAAACTGTAATCTGTGCTAAATTCCACAAATTTGCAAAATTAGCCTTAGTTATTCCTTTCTCCTGTTGCTTTATATATTTAAGTCTCCTTTAAATTCAGGATTGTTGGGGTTTTTTTTGTTTCCACGCAATTTGTCATCTTGCCATCTCTACTCTTCTTTTTGTTTCCTGTCATTTGTAAGGTCTTGTTTAAATGTTTTAAATAATTGTCAGCTGCTCAGAGTTGTTTTGAGTTGTGCAGCATACATAATTATTTATTCTATTTGTAAACCACTGAATCAATAAGGAATCTCAGCGAGTTTCAGCAGTCCAATAAAAACAAACAATTAGAACATCCACAGTAAGCAACCTTGATAAACAGTTTGTTGAAAATGGATAAAAATGAACTGTTGATATTGGGATTTATTGAATAAAAAGGTTATTTGAGGGAGGAAGGGAACTACGATATGTAGTAAGGGAGGATGGAGATGATAATTATTAAGTTTCAGTTTGCTGCAAAGAATACCAGAAGTCATTTCTTTAAATATCTTTTTCTTGCTTTTTTGTTACTGATTTTCTTTTACCCTTTTATAATATTTTTCTATTCTATTTCTTCTTCTATCTTTGCAAAATATTCCTCTAAGAAAACCTACTTTAAAAAACTCCACAGTACTGTAAGCCTTTTAAAATCCAAATTGTAAATGATATAGGACGATGTTTGAAAATTGAGTCATGTCAACTGGACTTATTTTCTTATTGGTTTGAGATATTTTGCTGCTCGTTTTTTGGACTACTGGATTAGGGTATTGAAGGAGTCTGTCTGGAAAATTTAAGATTTTGAGCATGCTGGGTTTTTTTACTTCTGTTTATGTGTTTTATACTATGTTGTCATAGTGTTGGTATGTTTATTTTTTATTTTTTATTTCAAATCCAGTGTTAGCTCCACTGTGCAAGTTAGGTGGGTATACAAATAACCTAATGGTGGGTTTCAAAAATTTTACTACTGGTTCTGTGGGCGTGGCTTGGTGGGCATGGCAGGGGAAGGATACTGTAAAATCTCCATTCCTACCCCAATCCAGGGGAAGGTTACTGCAAAATCCC